CATGTACACGAATCTCAAGCTCCTGGTCAGGTGTGTGGCCCGTACCACTGCTGACGAATTGCAAATTTCAAAAAATTCTTTTTTTGTAAATTATATTCATTCATAAAAAATCAAAGAATTTGCTTTCGTAAAAAAATACGCTGACATCACACAATTTCAGGTAAAAATAAATTAACTGTTGTACGGTTTAAACAGGCGATCTAAAAAACTGCTATTAGATGGCCTCAAACACACGGACACTTTCAATCGTTCAGAGCTACCGCCTTAGCTTTCTGATTGGCCAGACGAATTTCGATTAAAATGTTTGCAGTTTAAGGCGAGGTAATTGTTTTGCCTTCATTTTCAGAGGAGTTACAATAGCTACAGTTTCCCAGGTAGAAACAAATGCTCTTTAAAATGAGTGTTTTTTCGAAAATCGAAGATCCAAATAAAAGCACAACTGTGTAAAAGATCAAAAGGTACCGTGGGTCTAAAACGACGCTCGGGTCCAGCAGTAAGTTCGATTCACTTAACTGCCATCTCCTCTCAAACCGAACCGCAAACAACCGCACGCGGGCTGCGTGTCTACGTTGCGCTGCTACCGCGCGCAGACTGCGATTTGATGAACGCTATATGCAGCCTGCAGGTAGCGTGGTGGTATGTTTACTTTTCTGCGCCGATGCAGAGGACCATTTTCGAAAACAAAACCCATATTTACTAGAATTAAAGTTTGGACAGTTCTACGCCTTGTAATCCATTGCCGCAATGGAATTGGCTGTCCTTGGTACCGTTGGAAAAACAAAATTATTTTACATACTGGGTTTTTTTGGTTTTGGAATTGAGGCATTCGAATTCCAACGCTCAGTGGTTTTCTCAGTTAGGGGAATTAGTTTCATGTTTAAAAATTTATATCTTTACTATTTTTTACACAAGATTTTTTCTAAATAAATCCAATATGTAAAAAAATTATACGTTATATTTAGAAACAGCAAACTTGAAGTTGCCCCATTGGGTGCTTCAGCGTAGTTTTTTTGGGGCACATACAACATAATATTTTATATCCCGTTTGCACTTTTAGGCTTCATTTTAAAAACTTATATGTTAAAAAGTGCAATTTATAAGGTTTCTAATGAATCTTTGCACTTCGAGAACAGACCAACCAAAGGCGCACAACAAATTCTCAAAGTTGTCAATAAAATTGGCATGTTGTAAACAGTTACATCCCGTTAACACACGCATTTTTAACTTCGGTTAAAAAACTGGCCGGAAGTGCGCTTTCGGTCAATTTGGCTTTAAGTAGCGCACACTAGTCCCAGTCCCAAATGATCACAGTCCCAATCGCTCCCAGGCCCAGTCCGGCACGGTCACAGACGGTCACAGTCACAGAAGGTCCCAGTCACATAAACTCCCACTCCCAACCAGTCCCACCCAGTCACAGTCACAGACTTTAGCAATACCCCTTTGCCCTCTCCTGTGTCTTTTGATAGGAAGCAGGGAGCGCAGCAGACGACCCGGACCTACATGTTCAAAAAGGCGATTTGGACCGGGCTGCAGAGCGTTGCAGAGGACGGTCTGCAGGCCAGACGGGGTCTGACTCAGACCGCTTGCCATTTTTATTGCCTCTGCAATGCAAACTATCCCTGATTTGTAGCGATTTGAGAGCCGCCGCAATCCAGTTATTATCACATTTCATCACATATCAGAGCATTATTACATTTTTACGAAGATGCAGCTGGCGACGACTTAATAAGCAATGGCAGTGTTTTCCGGCATATCACTAATTCAGGACCTACAGATTAAACCTTGAGCTCACATAGCACAAAATGTGCCCACATAAAGATGCATGTGTTCAGCCCGATGGGGACCTGCGCCTAAAAACTGCCAATACTCTCCTCATCTGTGTAATTAGCTGACTTCTTATTGTTATTTTACCTACTTATTAAGAGAGCAAAAACCTTCACAAACAAGCAAGAAAACGCTGTAAGCCGATGCGGACTGCGTTATCCGACTGCGTTATTCCGAATGCAATAGCGTCCGCACGCAAAGGCGCAAACATTGCAAAAACCCTCTCACGCTCGATTTTTTCCCTAAATAACTATCTTTTGAACCTACACAGAGAATGAATGGTTTCACACGAACAACGGCTCTGACCTCCACCACGCTGTCGATTAACCGATAAGTCTGAAAAACTTTCCAGAACCACTGCCTTACACATAAGAAACTTAGTTCCTTATGTGTAAGGCAAAAGGAAGTTCTATGATGTTCTATAGCCAAATGATTGATGTACATTAGCGTCAAGTACGTTCTGCAAAAATATATGGGAGAAATTAAATGCGGGTAGTTTGGTCAATAATAATATGAACAATTTAGTAAGGGTGTAGTAAGTACACCGTTGTTAAATCTAGTTGCAGTCCTATTTCACTTCTACACGTATGAACAGACTAACCTTCGCTGCTTTCACGAGTGGTTTGCGCGAGAGCTTTTGGATCGACATGTCGCGCTGCATACGTCTCCAATATCCTCGTCAGCGTCTCCGCCGTCCAGGTCACGGTTGCCGTGTCAACGACGATGAACGTGCAGCGATCCGCGCCGAATCGCACGTGGAAACGACAACTATCATCCGTGTCGTTCAGTTGCGGATGCGAAGGATAGTACGCTAGCTCAAAAGCGTCAATAAATTGCGACACGTCCGCCGCTGTGTTACAAGCACATTTTGCGGTGTTAAAGGGGATTTCATGCCGCATGTAAAGTATGCCGCTCGGTCTGGTTCTGGCCAGGATAGGTGCCTGGTCGAAGGGCAGTCGCCTCGTTAACTGACAGCGATTAACAACAGCATTGGTGGGTTGGTTAGTTCCCGGCACGGTCACCGTGATAAAGAAGAGCTCGCATTTGGGAAAGCACAGCAGCACCGTGGCCGGACGGAAGCGCAACGGGCCGGCACTGGCATCGCGCACAGCCGCCATTACAGACATGTTCTGATATTCCATCCAGTGCAGCCGGGGCAAGAACTGCATCGGCCAGACGCGCGACGCCGGGATGAGGCGCGCCGGCGCTGCGCAGGCATCAAAGTCAACCAAGACGGTGCCGTCGGCACTGTTAAAGTCCTGGATGTATCCGAGCCAGCAGTCATCCTTCTCCATCCGCACGACCACAGTAATCCGGTAGCTAATGCACTCCGACTCACGTCCAATCAAAACCGGTCGAAATGGCGAAATCACTATCCGCGAGTCCATTCCGTTCAGCCGACCTGCAGCAAAAAAATGAAGGTTAATGTACGTTTAACAAAACTGGGTGTGATTGCTATGTCAAACAGCTTTCCAAAAAGATAATCACGCTAAGTTTTTTCAACGTGCATAATAACCTCCACTCTTGTCGGTACGAAGCGTGATAAAAGGCATGAAATGGTCCGCCGCGGGCTCGGATTATTTGTAGCGCATGTTCAAACAGATAAAGCTCAGCCCGCCTGTCCGAAAAGTTTCGCTCGGTGCCTTCGCTTGGCATGGAACGCAACTCAACGGGCTACACACTGCGCATTTGAAAATACTGATAAAGAAATTTTCCATCTAAAAATCCGAAGAACTTCAATGGGTCTTCCAACAACATGCGAACACGTGAAGACGTTTCGCTCAAACTAATATTGTATAGCCATAACTGATAATTCCTTAAGCTCAGCTACTTCAGACGACAGATACAATGCGTATTAAAGAGAAATGAAAACTGTGAGTTTCGAGAATACCAGCATCACAATTCACAAAATCTGGCCGCATATCCCGACGGCCGAAATGAGTGTTTTGGTATTACCTGTAGCATTAAAACCCTTCGTTCTATACCACGGATTTCGCCTTGAATGCAGCTGAAGAACGATACGATATCCGGCACGACAAGCTGCACGGCAGAGTATGTGCACGCCACTGCACGGAGAAATTTTATGTTGGATGTACACACATTGCGTGGAGACTGGTGCATGCGTGTGCGATACCCGGCCGGACCTGCCACAAGGCCACTTGCTGCATCTTGCGCTCGTCATTTGCTAAGTGAGAACTCGCTTCTAAATCTGGATTCTGGAAGCTTCGTAACAAATACAGCGAGCACGCGCTAAATTACTTACGTTTGCATTTGCCGAGAAATCATCCTTCCAATCTTGGTTTACATCTGTACGTCTACGAACTCCCAACAGTATAGTACATTGTCTTTCGAGGACGAGTGCTGGTTTCATAATGATACTCTTTAGAATCCGAGTCCGCAAAGGATCAATGCAGTGCCCACTTGAGGAACGTTCTTAGGATTAAGACCAACGGCTTCCATTGGGGACTGCATCATCCACTTACTGCTAAATTCCGTTAAAGTTGAGGCACAGTTAATTTTTTTGGGATTTTGTAATATTGAACCTGCCACTCATACTGTTGACGGAGATGCTACGATCCATGCTGGACATTTGCCTTACTCCAATAATTTGTTTAACTTTGTGTAGGGAGTGATCCTGGATAATTCGCGCACCTCACACATATCCGTGTGTTGCCTGGAACATATACCGGAACAGCGTACGTGCGGTTTTGATGCTCTACGCGGCGAGCTGATGGCACTGCAGCTTCTCTACGAAGAGCGTTACCATCGCAGCACGCTGCCGTGACAGCGAGACGGCCGCATTGGATGGGCATATCTTATAACATCGATTTCGTTCTGGAAGACTTGAGCTGATTCCGAGCACGGGTTGCCAGTCGAGCATCGGAAAACCGCGTTCGAGTAATTTTCTTTGTGAAACAAATTGCGTAATTAATTACAGCACTTACGAAAAACAAGAATTAAATTACTGAACATTATCATAAATAAACAAAGTATCCGTTTAGTTGCTTTTTACCAGACATTTAATCTTTAATGAAGTAACAATTGTCGAACGCAATACATATGTTAGCCACAACAATTTACCGTCCTCGTTACGCATAACAATGTCCATACTTCTGATGAGTAGATAAAGTCTTGGAAAAGATGCGGAAGAACATGTTTTTAATTGAGGCACGTATTAACAGCTCAAAGACGGGATACCGAGTGGCCGGACGAAGTTACCATTGTTCCTTGTAGCGATAAGAAGACGGTAGTTTTGGAATGTTACGCTGACAGATACGCTAACGTCTGCATAGACCAAACATTACGTGTTCCAGGAAGCGGGGAAATTATGGAGAAACCGCTGCTACGAAAGTGCGAGGGGCCTGCGGGCTGATACGGGTTGCACCTATTTGTTGTCACCCTCCCAGCAAAATTCACATCAATGCAGCCGGGCATCAGTGCCGCCCGTGAAGAACTAGAATTGGTCAGCAGTGAATGGTTTGCACCGGAGCTGGTGCCGCGATCAGGGCACAGTGCACACGATGTCATAACTACAATAGCTGAACCGAGTCAACCGACTGTTGGGGACCGCCAACGAAGTTCTGCTTAAGAATTGTCCGGGACGATTTGCGAATGTAGTGGTTACCGTTGGCCGGGGGAGAAGGCCGAGGCAAATCGAAATTGCGGAAACAGCCCGTACGTATACGCAGTGCATTAACATGTAGCGGCAGTTAATTCTTGTTTGGCCACGCCGTGTTTACCTTAGCAGACGAACTTTTTTTAGATATACTATGTTGATATTCTTACTTTCTACAAAATATGAGATTTTTCTCAATTTGGAGCCTCCCTATGTGCCGCGGTAAGTAATTTGTTTTGTACTTTTATACATGAGTGATTTTCCTAGAATTGAACAAGCGCAGAGTACGCGCATAAATATGATAAGAATATCACTAAACACACAGAGTATTATGCTTAGTTATATTATGATATGACTAATGCGCATTATAAAAAATAGCGATTGTACAGAATAGTACTGAGAATACAGAGTACACAGCTCTCTTGCTTTTAGTTAATATGGAAATACCTGTACATATTATTAACAGTGTCAGTCACCAACGAGATAGCACATTTCGGTTGTCTCTCAAATCGCAGACTTCCACTTAACAAGCCTTGGTAAATTGCAAGGTAAAATTTTTTTCTGGAATTTCGTAAATAATCGCAGACTTTCAATATATTTTCTGCGTGTAAGTACTTCTTGAAACAGACACGAATCAGCAGAATGATAGAAAATAGACTGCATGTAGATAAAAACCGCATTTTCTACCGATAAATCTAAACTGGAAGGTGGCTACTGACACTAATCACCTAGCCGCCGGCCGATGGTGGCGTTGTGTCAGGCGAGTCCGTTTCCGTTTCCGGTGAATAATTCGAGATTCTTATAGCAAAATTATTCTTGTACAGCAATTTGTAGGTTTTGAGTCTTTTGACAAACCGATTTCTGGCGTCATTTTATGCGTTTTCTTCGATAAACACGGCCCAGACAGTTTCTTGTCTCTAATTTTCTAGTCGACAGGAACAAGTTAACTACAGTATATTTTAGGTTCCATCATGATCTTGTTAATAGTGAATTATAATCTGTGTTCGGTTATTATTGCTCGCCTCTTCTGCAAAGGGTTTCCCGCAGTCTGGCTTGGTTAAGCTGTTATACTTATACCTAAATGTTTTCTTGTTATCAGGAGGCCGCCGAGTTTCTCGCTTGATTTTTATCTCCTATAAATTGTATTACGTGTATGCTCGAGAGAACCGTCCCAGAGATATGCGTTGCTATTCAGCGAAGGTTAATTCGTAGAGTCATCATTTACGCTAATGGTTAAAACCGCTCACACATATAACCGATAACTCGGAGAACCGTAATGAAGAATTTAGAAGTGGAATTATCGGATGTCTTTCAATACCGGTACTAGCATATCGTCCTGAAATTGATACTCCTTGCTTGCTGTTCAAAAACCGTGCTACAGAGTCGAAACCCTACGGAAATTGACACGCTGATCCTAGATGTTCTGGAATTAAAGGGTGCTCACACCGTCACACGTGATGGTCGTGGGACAGAATGGCATTTTCATCGATCTGCTCAGTCGCAACCGACGACGGGAATAGAATGTAATCGGCCGATTCTTCGAAGCGACCTGTAAAGAGAGTAGCGGCTCATGCACAGTCGAGGATTTCAACGCACTGCGCCGTGGTGCCGTGGTACTGCCTACGCGGATCTAACGACATAGCCGGGGTTCGATACCCGCATCAGTGCAGTTTTCGGCCGTTTCTCGGTTTCCTTCGGATGGCGCCCTGCTGAGAGGCCGATTACAGCTGACTCCGGCGGAGGAATTTCTACGCAAAGACTCGATCCCCCAAAGTGCCAACTGCCAAACAGTTTCAAGTTTTCGTACGGCTGAGCACCACACCACCGTATTTCGTGTTCTGCTACGACACCACTACGGTAGTTAATATTTTACCCATTTTTACTGTACGGTATGCCTAATTTCAATATTCTTATGGAGATACGGTACGGTACTGTAGCAGTATTATTCCGTGTAGCAGCAGCTGTTCTCTGATCGCGAAATTATATAGACATTAGAAATTAACAGCGCCAGGAAAGTTACGAACCTAACAGGCCTTTCCGGCTGCGAAGTTATGGTTAGCACTTAGCTGTATATTTTCGGACAAAGCGCGAAGCCGACAAGCGACTGTGCTGCAAAAACTACTAGAAATGCTATTAAAAAGAGTGGACAAATTCCAAACTTTTTGCAGCGAAAGCTAAAAGGCATAAACTGAGGCTGTTATTATCATGTATGGAGTCTTCATAAAGGGTGAACTTTCGCACGAAACCGACGTACGTTTTTACTGGGAAAATTACAAGCAGTTCCACAAAAAGTTGTAAATTATTACAAGTTTCTTGTAAACCACTTCGACAGATATCTGTAAATCTACTTAGTAACGTTCACAAGGGACCGGTTTGTATATGTATATTATACATATCTTCTATCTGTACATAATTATACTGTTGGGGGTCTTCATTGCAGATGGATAAAAACAACAAGCCCACGATGACACGGTATCGGGCGCTGTTGGTTAGTGCCAACGGGATGAGTTACCAGAACACGGTGGCCGTCCGCGTAAATAACGACACGTGGTGGCTAGGATACATTCAAGACATCGCGGACGACAAAGCCTATATAGACTTTGATTCCATAATTATCACGCCCAAGTGGATAAGCATGAACTGCATCTGGGCGCTGCCCTTCTACTGGGAGACCGATGCGGCTCTCGTGGTCAACCGTAATGCGAAATGCTACGTGGCCTTAATTGCGGGGCGGAAATGGCGGATCACTGCTCTTTCGACGCGCCACCCGGCGGCGCTACCTTCAGCGATGTAATAATAATAACTGGTTTATTGTCCTTTGCTACGAGGCTTCGCCTCCTTTTAAGCTAAGACAGGAAATTCTAAATAAGTAGAGAAAACAAAAAGCGTGAGGTCACAACCCATCTGCCGGCTGCCGGCTTTTTGGGGTCAACCTTTTTCGGCAAATAAACACCGGCTTCGGCTTTTTCGTTAACGTATTACTCTAGAAAGTGTATTTGGAGAGAAATTGATTGATTGGTTTTCGAGAAAAATTCGGACACTTGAAAGTCGGCTGCTGGTTGCCGGCTGCCTCTCCTGTGCTGCACACCGCTTCTGCCAGAAACACCATCCGACCGCCCACTTCGAAATAGCCGCTAACGGCCAAGTGGCCGGTATCTGGCCGCCGACGGATCCGCCGTTGCTGCAGCAGCACAGCGGTTTGCTCTACACCAAGCACGTTATCCCCTTTGACGCAGCGCAGGACGTCCTCAGCGACGCCGCGGACAGATCCCGCATTATCAAGCACCTGCGCGACGCATTTCGCCAGTTGCTCAAAGCATTTCGACCAACCCGCGAAATGCCGGTGCCCTACCCGTTTAGCCGGTGTCGCTTTCACCTGCGCGTGGAGCCGGGTCGCTGCACGTTATTGTCGCCAGTTTCAGCAGGAGCGCGGAGGCGGTCCACACGACGGAGGTTACGTTGGCCAGAGCCTTCGAGACGCATCTAGTCAGCCGGATCGATCTGCCGTCCCTCCGGTTTCGTGACGCCCGTCTACAGGGAGCCGGTCAGTAAACTGGCGGCAACTGTGCTTGTGTGCTTCGATTTTTCTTATGTTATTCGATTTTTCGTATACGTTTCTATCAACTGAACACCGATCATCCGGCCTCGAGTTTTCTGTCCTGTTTGTAATACTGTATTTTCACAAGTTTAAGGAACACGAAAATGCCCTTGATCTGCTCGCAGCCACCCGGCCTGCAGCTAGGTTCATTGCTGCTCACTGAGCTCTGAAATTAAAAATTGCAATTAAAATCATTTTTGAATTTACTGTTGCACATTACGGCCTTACGGGGCCCCATTTTACAACTAACACAATCACAAAACTTACCATTTTTTCCTAAAGATCTGTTGACTATTTTATTATGTGCAAAACCGCTGTGTTTATTGGCCAAGAAATGTGAGTCTGGTATCAGTGGCATGTGTACCAGAGCATGCGAGCAGACCTAGGGCATTTTCGTGTTCCTTAAACTTGTGAAAATACAGTACACAAATGCAAGGACTTATTTTTTCGCAGTTTAGCATATGTTCCTTGTAATGTTGCTGCAGGTGTGGAAAGCAGCGTTGAGCAGGCGACCGCGCAAATTGGTGAACAGCCGGCACATCTCGTCAGGAAGATCCTGGCCCATCTGGACCTACACTCGCAAATGAGGACTAAGAGGTACGATGACATTCCGTCACATTGAATGGTTTTACGGGCTACCGATCACTTCGGCCGCCACTCATTTGGGCCGCATGAAATTTCGGCCGACGCTCGTTTTGGTTTAATTAGTGCAAGAAAACGTTAATCTCGACGTAACTTTGACGGTAACGTAAACCTGAGGAACCTAAGAATACCAGGAAAACCTATGAAAACCTAAGAAACCTAAGATACCAGGAAAGCCTATGAAAACATAGGCTTTCCTATGTTTTCATAGGCTTTCTGCAATTGTGAAAAACCTAAGAATCCTTGCAAATAACTTAAGAAAACCTAAGGAAACTTAAGAAACACAACAGGAACTATGAAAACGTGAAAAAGTAAAGATGACTAAATGTACTGTTACGAAATGAGCGGTGCCGACGTGAGCATCGGCCGAACTGAGCCTCGGCCGAACTGATCATGCAAACGATCGGACTCGGGTTTTACGCGTGATTGTTGCCTGATGGTGTTCACTACTGCGACAGGGTGTGCGCGTTGTGGCAGTTATTGCTGAGCCACTCTCGAATGGCGGAGCACGTCAGCCTGTCCTTCGAAAGCTGCTGGCCGCTGCAATAGGACACGGACAACTGCTTCAAAGCGGCCAGCCTCATGAGCCGCTCCATCACGCCCGCCACCATCAGTCTGACGCTGCTGCCGCTCCTTCCTTCCAGTCACGTCACAGTGTTACTGCCCTGGTTGCAAGACAACCGCATCCATCTGCGCTGCATCGCCTTCAAAGACTACACCAGTCCCCCGCCGCTCGCGCCACGCGCCCTCTCGTCACCCGGCCACACTGCTGGCCTTCAGGTTTAAGCACCTGTGCGACGCCCTGCTGCTGTGCAACTGGACGGTCGGCCAGCTCTTCGGCTCGACGATGTACTACGCCTTTGAGTGCGATCCCTACCTGACGTTCCGCCCACCCGCCCATCTCCTGCGGGCCCGCGAGCAGGACCGCATGCGGCACCTGACGCCAGAGTCCTGCGCATTGGACGTTGACCAGCTGCGCGTCTCCATTCCGCGGCTGCAGCGACGGCCGCACGCGCATGTCGGCGCGCTTCATGCACGCGGTGGACGCCCACTTCCCGCCGGTCACCGCGGAAATGATAGCAAAGGTCACGGCGGTGCACGCGCGCTGGGTGCGCACGCTGGCCTATCCCGAGGAGTGGGCGGCCATCCGCGAGTACATCTTCCTGTAAGTGGGCAACGCACGGCCACTGGCAGCGGGCGTTTCACGAACCGGAAATGTATGTGCATGTCTGATTATTAATACTGTTAATATTATTAATATTATTTTTATTATAGCAAACTCCATTACGGAGACTTTATACCCATATATGAAAACCTTTGGGGTTTTAAGCTATTGAAAAATTTTTTCGTTTAATTTTGAAAATTTTGTACTTTTTTTGATTTGGTTTTATGAGATAAAAGTTACCCACCTAGGAATCGAACCCAGGATATACAATCTTAAAGCGAGACGTACTACCACCAGGGCATGGGCAATTAACATTAAATATTTGGTTATTATTATTGCAACTACAGTAATAACTACAATAATGATAATGTGGGGTTTCGGACGTTGCGGGTTCAGCGGCTTTGAAGCGGATGGGACGGTACAAATGTGGGACGATGCGGATTGGCGCCGGCTTGACGTATCCTCACTGAGTCGCATGGCTATCTACGGCAGCCACGAACTCTTCCGTGTCTGAGACGCTCAGGGCAACCGTTTGACCATGCCAATAACATTCGTGCCAATTATACTACCGTATGCGGAATGGGGGCTCAGAATTCGGAAGAAATCCCCTACCTTCCCAATTCAAAACGATTAGCGCTGATTGATGGCAGCAGCACCAGAATTCGACTTAATCTCATTTGAAAATGTTTTGGACTACTCTACAGATATTGGCTATTGCAGTGAAAGCGACTGTCAGCTTCGCGAGATCCATATAAAGTGGCTTTTTATTGTACTGTACAGGTATTTCAATGAACATTTAAAAGTCATGCACGAAGTCGAGGCATAGCGTTATTCTTGTAGTCAATGCTCACATCTGCTGGCGCGTACATTACTCACGCATCAATAAACTATGCTCCTGGTTTACGGGCGCAAGATGCCCGCTCGACCTGCTAATTGTTGGCGGGCCCGACAGGAATGGGCTGCTTTCTCCATAGATCTGCCGAACTGCACCGTAATTATACTGCTCTGTAACCGCTAGACGAAATAATGTTTTATGCTTGCCTTAAAGGAACTAGAAATGAAATAAAAAAATCAAACAAATAATGCATGAAAGTTATCACATATTGTCAGTTCGGTTGGCCAATGATGCAAAAACTGGACACCCAAAACTGAAAAGAAGGCTTGTTACATTACAGCGACAGTGCGATCAACAGATCTTCTAGTCTGTGCCTGTAGTACATGCGCCAATAGCCCGGGGCACCAGACCTTGTGTATTGTCTTTAGGGACCCCAGTAGATCGGCCGAACAAAATTTACAAAATGCGAATTCTTGCTTCTGCTTGAATTCTGGTGCTCACCAGTTTGCTACCGAAAACACTTCTTTACGGACCGAATCTTGAGAAAGGTCATTTGGCTCCGATGATAACGATATCGTATTGTTCGCTCGTGGTGCATCAACTCGTGGAGTATCAGCGCACAGCGCTTTATTTTTTGCAAGAATGCTTCCCAAACATAAGGACACTGTTAATGTGCAATACACTTGGCTTTTCAGGGTCGTATCCGGTCATATACAAAGCACTGAGCCATACATAGCTGGCCTAGTAGTTTCTAACTCGTATCATGTGCAATGTTGCCAGCACCCGTCTCTTTAGTAATTGCGGAACCGACAACGCATAGTAAAATTAGTTTTTTTACTTTCTTTGTAAAATTTAAACTTCATCTGTACAGCTGAGCTATTGCACCGCACACTTCATCGCACAAAGAATATCCGAAAAGTGCACATGTAGTCGTATCAAATTGTACCACTTGTTAAAATGCGGTGCCTTTACGAGAGGGAAGCTCACGGTGACCTTTAAAAAGCGGTATAATCCTTTAAAAAGCCCTTTAGAAAGCGTTAAAAAGCTGTACAATCACGGTTGCCATTCCGCATAATTTAAGTTGCAGCAAAAGGTTAATATCTAACGTCCTCAAATAACAGCCGAATTACCATACCATCGACCAAATTCAACTGCCCTGTCACTGTGGTCCTGTGACAGGGCAGTTGAATCGGTGCACATACCAACCTTTGTACCCGACAATCCAGTGAGCCGGCTACATGATTTTCAAAACAGTTAGGACATTAAATTTATAATTTGGCAGATCTTTACACAATCTCGTACGAAATGCTGCTGGCAACAGTTCCCGCAAATGAGAACTGGCGATTGGCATTCCCTGATTTTGTGGCCATATTTGTTACACTTGAAACAGCGTAAAACCATGGAGCTGGGGATGACAGTCCATCCACCAGTTGCATATACATGCAACCGATTTCTCGCCATTCATTGCTGTACGTAGTGTTTTTCATTGTTGAAATCGATCCATATGTGTCCAATGCCAATACCACAATAACGCGTATCATCATCGGGCTTCTGTTTATGGATCACCTCAAGGGAGTCGATATTTCGCCGGCAGAAAGAGTTACGATTTTCATCGTCCACATTCTTGAGAATCACGGGAAATGTAATTTTTTGGTACCACAAGCGTCTTGAAAGGGGCATTTGTTGAGTTTTGAATATTAAGCGCCTTATCTCGCGCACTTTCGGTACGAAATGTCAGGACGCCTTCCAGGGACACTTTTCGCTGATAAACTTCGGTAAGAGTGAGCGTCTCCATTGGCGCCTCTGCACGAAACACAGAGCAATCATGGTATCTTTCGGTTTGAGAAGTCATAGTATCTTAATTGGTTCGAGGCGACACGTTGCTAATTTGTCGCGGCGCTTGACCAAAACACGACCTTCCAAATTTGCCAGGAAACGCGCTTCGCGAATGTACGGTACTCGTATTGAGTGTTGCACTAGCAAGGCAAAGCGCAGAACACGGAGGAAGGACCTGATATGAAGCAGTGGTTTCTGGTACATCTTGAAAAATGCTTTTTGTCGAAAGTCAGCACGAATCAGCAGATAGAAAACAGAATACATGTACATAAAAACCCGATAATACTAAATCAAGAAGATGGCTACTGACACTAATCACCTAGCCGCCGGCCGATGGTGGCGTTGTGCCAGTCGAGTCAACTTTCGTTTCCGGTGAATAAGTCGAGATTCTAATAATAAAATCATTCTTGTACAGCAATGCGTACGTTTTGGATCTTTCGGCAAACCGATTTCTGGCATCTTTTTATCAGTTTTTTTTCCGAAAAACTCGGCCCAGGAAGTTTTTTGTTTCGACTTTTCTAGTCGACAAAAACTAGTTTAACTACAGCATATTTTTTGGTTACACCATGATTTTGTTACCAGTGAACTGTAATCAGTGTTCAGTTATTGCTCGCCTCTTCATCTGCAAGAGGTTCTTCGCAGTCTGGGTTCGTTAAGCTGTTATACCTGAATGTTTTCTTGTTATTAAGAGACCGTCGAGTTTTCCGTTTGATTTCGATAAAACATTGATGCCGAAACTTGAAAACGTTCTAGTTGAACTGTACTTGATCTCCTATCTATTACTTTTATGCTCGGGAGAACCGTCCCAGAGGTATGCGTTGTTATTGAATGAACGCTAATTCCTGGAGACTGTCATTTACGCTGATTGCTATAACCGCTCGCACGTATAATCGCGAACTCGGAGAACCATAACGAAGAACTGGAAGTGGAATTTTAAGATATCTTTCAATACTAGTAGATCATCCTGAAATTGGTACAACTTGATTGCTGTTCAAAAATCCTGACACAGAGTCGAAACTTTACGGAAAACGCCAGCATACCATTATCCAGAATGCCACTAATTCGCAAAATGAGCGGAGATACTGCGTTGAGCCAGATAAATACGAATGGAAAAGTACTGCCTGCGATTGGAAACAGAGCGCGCAACTTCCATCGTTTATGCATCCGTAAGTTCTCCATGCGATTCGGCCATAGATCGATAGCGTGCCGTGTACATGAGTAAAATCATTGTATTTCCTGTACCAACGCTTGCAACAGTATAGCGGACATCTTTATTCGTATACTGATTGTTTTTCCCATGTTGGTTGTTAAAAACAGGATAAATTTTTTTATACCAGTCGCGATTCCCTTAATTACAACTGGGCGAACGGCATTATAATCCTCTAGAGCAGGATTTGCATGCGGATGCAGTTTTGAAGCCCGGTCAGTAATAGATGAGACGCTAATCTGCTTTCCCCGTTTAGTCAGTGACTGTCAAGATGGCTGGAAGCACATCCCTCGGAGTCTCATGTGGGCCACGGACCGACCCTTTCCGCCGGCCACGACCGAACAGCGAAAGTTCCCGTGTATGCACCCGAATTTGGTACTATGTACCGGGCCAAATCTTACCTAACTACGCTAACGCTTCTGCAAGATCACACCGGCCAAGTAACATCAATTCCGTAGAAACAGGCAATAATCAGGCTGCGAAAATAAATGGGCCTATTTGGTGGGAAGCAAAGTCTCCGTAAAATAAAAGCGGCACATGCAGATCACGACGAGGAGAAGCCAATGAGGGAATCCGGGTTTTAGCTGGCTTTAAACTTTAAACGATCAAGCGAGTTAAGCCGTGTAATAAAATGAGAGCGACGCGCGCGACCATTCATTCTTAATCGTACCTTAAAAGTATTAATCCTGCATCCGATAATTTACAGGATTCCACAGAGTTCCATTGCAAAAATCCTAGCCAGCGAGTGAATTTTGATTTTTTCGCCAAAGAACTTGTGACGTTGTTTCCTGTTAAAAAATCATATGTACTAGTATTTTCGTTCCAATCGTTTGAGAAGGCCCGCGCTCAAGCTCTGACTCTGACTCTGACTCTGACCACTCAAACTCTGACTCTGACCACTCAAACTCTGACCACTCTGACTCTGACCACTCTGACTCTGACCACCCAAAGTCTGACTCTGACCACTCAAACTCTGACTCTGACCACTCAAACTCTGACTCTGACCACTCAAACTCTGACCACTCTGACTCTGACCACTCTGACTCTGACCACCCAAAGTCTGACTCTGACCACTCAAACTCTGACTCTGACCACTCAAACTCTGACTCTGACCAATGAAACTCTTACTCTGACCAACCGCTGTCTCTTACCGACAAACTCAGGCTCTGACTACCATACATTCAGCTTCGGCAAACAAACTCTGGCTTTCGGTGTCTACTTGGGACTTAAGTTGTGACCGCTGAAAGTTCAACTCTGGCTACCGGCATATGCCCGACGAAGTAAATAAACAGTGTGGACAGTAATTAAAACCGTACAGACAGTACAGTAACAGGCTTCCTAAAAACAGTGTTCGTACATCAGGAATATGGGGAGACTTGGCGGTGTTACTTACTGAACTCTGAAGTAAAATTTAGCTCGTAATATCCAGCATTTGACGGATCACAAGCCAACGTGTAGAACGATTACAGTCATAACGTAGGAAACCTGACAGTCAATTTACAGTAGATGCCTTGCCCACTGATGTACTCTGCATGTACTACACTCACTATTGTCAGTGTGAAACAAACAGTCATAATTAAATACCATGGTGCATAAATGAATAATCAGGTAAGCGGGGATTCTGCAGCAAAATGACAATTATGAGGATACTCCTCTTTGTACACAAGCGCAAACAAGTCTGAACGAACATTAACAAAATCAAAGCGCCGGTATACTGAATGAAACAAAAAAGGCGCTGCGCGGTGCAAGATCAAAGCACCTGGTGCCGCATCATGAGCGAACCGCTTCAACAAGGCAGCTGTCAGGACCATCAAACACTACGAATCAAGTACGCATTATTGTTAGGTCTTCCCATTACCGTTCCGTTGTGCTTAATGATCTGTCTTCTGTAAATGGGATAAAATGTGTTCGTTTTATCTTCTTTTTTGTATCTCGTAATCAAGTATTCGATGGAACAGTAGCATTGTGGTCTGTGTTATCGTAATATGGGAAAAATCATCCATTCGGGAGAAATGTTCTCTTATACGGATTCCGTAAGCATTTTCGCCCAATCGCTTATATGTAACATCCACTGAAGATTTCTGATGTAGGATGAGGACATGTTTGGAGAGAACCGTAGAAGTGACGAACTAAGCGCACTTGATGATTTACTGCCAGCAACAAGCACTGGCAGGTAAGGTTTCATGCAGCCAAGCAGTTAATTTAAATTAGAATTGTTAAATAATATGGGTCATTTGTCCTAAAGCGATTGCACAAACGTAAACTCATACTCTGGATTTCATCAAAAATTTAGTCGATAAAGATATGCAGTGGCATCAAAGTTTCATGTTATTGATAACAATTTGTGTTTTCACTTATTACGGGCATACGAAAGCGTGCGTGCTCGAAATTAGCGTGCTCGAAATTTGGGATTTTCTGTATGCTTCAAAATTTTAGAATTTTATTTTTAAGGTTTTCTTCTGTTGTTTTTTTAAAAAAAGGCCTCTATTTTACTGTTTTTTGAAATAAACCGCCGCCACGGCTAGCAAGGAACGCTTCACTTCATAAACAGTAAACAACAAACAAGATCAACGACACAGATTTCGTCAAAATTAAAAAGATAATTTTTCAACTTGAAATAGTTATTTTCTAAATCTTAGGTCAGTTTTATTCAGCAGATTTAAACGTGAGCAGCAGTAATGAAATTTGCATGGGATACTGTACTGCCAAATGGAAATGATTTTAATTTATTAGTGTATCTACATGAGCACTATGGTCTGCAGGGCTAGAGACGCAAGTCTGGAAGATAGTTTCAGTCTGACGGGGCATGAGTCGGATACGGTTGAAGCAGCTGCGGAAAGTTTCAGGCAAGTAAATATTTTTTGTATTTATTTTAGAAATTTTTTCTACTGATGAATTGTAAGACACAAAATTCCGTTCGCAGTAATGCTCCGTAAAACCGTTTGACGCAAAATTATTCAGACTGACGTTCTACGTTTTCATCTTTTGCTAAATAAGGGGCGTATACATACGTACGTAGCTTCTTGTTGTCGATGACAGTTTTGCTTGGTTACGTCTATTAGTCAGTATTTTAGTTTATTTAAATCCTTTCTCAACGAGAAATATACGGGATGGCCCATGGGCAACTAAAATATTATTTAAGTTTCTTTGAATGGAATAAATGCAAACCGAAAGTGAGGTAATATCCCCTCGAACAACTGAAAATTAATATCATTGCGGTGGCAAGGCTAGGGAGCATATTACGACGAGTGAACATCTATCCATATCTGTACTACAGTTTGTTCCGGTGTACTACAATTTACAACTTTAAATTTTTGTACTTACTTATGCATTTGTATTTCTGTTTTTTTTTTATTACAACAGAATGCCGCGTGCGTGCTCCGGTTTTGAAGCATCGACACAAATTACTTGCTACATAGGGCAATTTTCCATGTATCTGTAATGAAATACCCGCAAACACAGGATAATGTCCTGATGTATAGACCTCAATGTAATTGGTTACACAGGCTGAGCCGTTTCTTTTAATGTAAATGGCCCGGTACATTGTGTCAAAAGTGGGATACATACACTAAAACTTTCGCTTTCGCGCACTCCGAATCACTTTTTTGTAATACTTTGTGTCGTTCCAAAGCTAAATGATTTGTATGCATTGTTTTGAAAACCATTTGCGCGCGCAACATCCCTTTGCCAAGATATGGCGTACTAAAATGGGTGAAAAGTTTAAATGTATTGTTGTGTACAAGTACCAAAATACAAGTCATGCATTGTTGTGTACAAGTCTGGTAATTACCCGATCTTACTGAAACTTTGCTGCAAAATGAACATGGCCATAAAGTCGAAAGTAAACCAATTTTAAGTTCATAGCATTTCCCCATAATTTTAAAATGATTTTTAAAACTTTTGAAATTCATTTTAAAATCGGAAAAAAATGCTATGGATCTGATAGTTTTGTGTAGTCTCTTAGCCACCGGTAGTCCATTTTGTTCCACGCAGCTGCAATTTTGTGTAGTATCCTGTAGTTTGTGTAGCCACCGGTAGTCCATGTAGTCTTTTGTAATTATTGCAGTTTTGTTTCGTCGCACTGAAGTCGTATGGCTCACTTCCTACACGACTAATTCTTGGGCCCACAGTATTAATCCTAGAGTTCTCAAATTTCTTGAGGTTCTTTGATTTTTTTAATCTGTTTTTTGGTTTTTTTAAATTTCTTAAATTTTGCAGGCTTAAACAGGCTTTAAGGCTTAAACAGGCTTGTTTTGCAAGCCTAAACTTCTGATAAGTCCTGGAAAACTGTAGCAACAAAAACAAATTTAAAGCACCTTTTATACAGGTAATTAAACATTGACCACCGAAATATATATAGCTATATCGGTGACTACCGAAAACCACAGCAACCACGCTGACTACCTGTGAATACAAAAAACTCTACAAACTACACATACACAGAATACTCGCGGCTACCCAAAATTCAAAAACTACGCGAGATTATCGGTTGCTACAAAATGCCACACAGATAACTGCCGGTCACTAAAAGACTACAAGTAGTGACGGAGGCTGCATTTGCCTACGGTGGCCTACGGGACCACAAGCCAAAAATGTTGATCCAAAAAAATAACCATGTTCGAAAGTGCCATATCTTACTTTATGGGCCTAAATTGGAGTCTTCGCTTTGGTCAATTTAGAATCTCATTTGCTTGGACATTTCTGCGAAACCGTCAGCTTTTATATTGGAAAAAGACTGAAAGTCCGTAAATTAGCTCTAAGAGCGATGCCAGAATTGTTACGGCTGTGGGAATTTAAGTTTCCTCGTGTGAAAGATTTTCCCAAAATAGAGAGTGATTCAAAAATTACCGTTTGCATAGGATTTAGAAATCGCGCGGCCAATATTTATTCCTAAACATTCTACCTTTAACCCTGAAAAGCCAATCAACGACTACGCACACGTAATCAGAATACTGGGTCATTTAACTGGTGTTTTCTTAAGCATTTTGGAAGTTCCTGTAACTTCTGTAACTATATTTAAGCCATGTAACCGCAAGCCCGCTGTTTTCTGCAGACCTGGCAGCTTGCTTGGAAAACGTCAGCACCTCGATGAAGAGGACTTGTTACCCGTTCGATGAAGAGGACTTGTTACATGAAGAGAATCTGGAATCGCCGGAGCCCAAAAAAAGGTAACGTTTCGGAAACTTCACACTGTGTTTTTAGTTTTTACGTACATTGGTAAGAAAGCCCTGACCTTTCCATGTGTACTTACAGCCGCAGAAGTCCTTTGTTTTCTCATCGCGCTCGTAACCGTTTGTTAGGCCCTCCGAAAACCGACATTGAGATTTTAGGTTCGCCACAGAAAGGGTAAGAAGTGGGTCGCAGCACTACTGGAAGCTGCTTGTTTTGTGTAATGCAGTTTTTCTGTTAATTAGCTGCTTAGCGGTACGAATTCGTTGGTAAATAATTGAGATACGGCAGTGTGCTTAAAATACTTTCGAATAAATTGCGACTTTTATCTACAGGTACCACAGTGGTGTTCGTCAGCGGTCGATGTCCATCTCAGACAGTGATATTACCGAATTAATGTCACCGCGCGAGAGGTAAACAGTTTATTTCTCTTTTTTTTCACATTTTTTTGTTCATTAACATGCCTTGTACTACAATGGTCAAGTACTAGCGCGCGCACGTTTGGAATAAAAACAATGATTTCTAGTTCTCCCGTTCGTTAGCAAAAACTGAAAACATCCAGCTTTTCTTCAGGCTTAATACCGCAGCTACTATTTTGCTTGCTTATGCTGCATTGTCGTTACGTTTAGCGCACTGGCAAATGCTATAATCACTTGCACAGCGCTCACAGTACGGTACATGGTGCCAAATTTGTGTACAAGCTCGAAAACTTTCGCTTTCGCCCACTCCCAAACACATTTTGTTTCGGTTAATGACATTCTGCAGCCAAAATATACAGTGGCGCAAAAAACCTTTATGCGCGCAACATCCGGTTCGGGAGTTATGGCTGCAAAAAAATTTCAAAAAGTTCAATGCATTCAAGTGTACCAAAAGTCTCATTATGGACCGATCTCCTCAAATTTTGCACGTAAATGCACATAACCACGAACATAACGTACATAAATGCACATTACGCTTTTACACCGATCCACTGTTTTAGGAGGTTTTAAAATTTTAGAATCAATTTCGAAAATTTTAAAATTTATTTTACAATGTGAAAAAAAAATCATGAAAGTCTGGATTGGTGTTCAGATCCATGTGCATTTACGTGACAATCTGAGTTAAAATCGGTCCGTAATGAGACTTTCGGTACACCTGAAATCCTGAATGCATGAACGGTCATAGCAGCCACAACTCCCGAAGCGGATGTTGCGCGCACAAACGGTTTTCATGCAAGTGTATGCAAATTTTCTGGCTGTAGAATGTCATAAACCGAATCAAAAATGTATTTGGTTGTGCGCGAAAGTGAAAGGTTTCGTGCATGTAATTGTATTGTGCATTGTACACGAATCTGGTACCATGTACCGGGCCACTTCCCTTGATATGACTGCTTGCCGGTAGGAATGTGCCCAGTCATGCAAAGATAATAGCACCTACAACAAGTGTCAGCTGCGCCACATGCTGTGGAAAAAAGCTATCAACGAATACAAATGCGCATTTTGCATAATGTAAAAATGTGCATGGCGTCCACTTCGTCTTACTCAGCAGTTGCATAGCCTAAAGGGTATTAATGTATAAAAACTATGTTTAGATTGCATTTGTTAGTAAAAATTGGATTTCTGCAATGAAATAAAACATTTCATAAATCGGACGCGGATGGAGATGCCGACATTAAAAAGAATTAGTTTTATAAATTTCTGGCACCTACCTTTAGCGTTTCTCTTGAAAATTTCTATTATTTAAACTATAAATGTGCAAGTGCAATTTGTCTGATATTCATAACCAGCCTAAATGTTACTGCCTAAAAATAAAAACTTTACGGTCATACGGCGGCGCCAGAATGACGCCTTGCAAAGTTGCCTAAAATCGAAGTTGAATCCATCAGACACAACAATGGCACATGGTGTACAGTGCTGGGAGAAGAAATAAACTTTGAAGATCTCACATACTTTAACTGCCTATTTCGAAAGATTCACATCAACAGCATTGCGTGCTTAAACTAGTGCTCAGAATTATGAACCATTGACATTGCGGGTATGCTTAGCGTCAGAAATGTGTTCTCTTACAGATGTCCAAGCGTTCTTGAAGAAAGTGAATCGGGTGTCGAAGCTGATAACACTGTCGCGCTAATTGATGATAACGATCAACCGAAATTACGGAAGTAAGGCAGATATTGTTGTTTCGGGATAAAATTGTAGTGATTAAATGAAAAACAAAGGGCATGCCAAAAGTTTCTTTCTCTGTTTTGCCTGGATGCCAGTTTTAGTGGTATGCAAACGATATAGATCTTGTTGCGGATCTTATGCTACAAGCAATCAAAAGAAACATAAATTTCAACCGTCGAAAAAGAAAATTGTCCAAAAGAAAAAACATTTAACCGGCGTTAATTCGGGCAGCTAATTGCTTGACTCTCAAAAATTCATTTTTTACTTCCATGTTTTCCCTGTTTTAAGCTTGTCAGTAGCAAAATCAAAACTAGCGAAATTTAATCAAATCGGCCGGTTGCTTGGTGCATGCAGTAGGTGCAGTCTTCTCAACTGAAACCGTCAGTCGAAAACAGGGTGCAAAAGGGGTGCACAATGTGAAAAGAGGTGCAGGGTGCCTTTTATGCACCTTTTAAGGCTATAAAAGTAGAAATTGCTACGCTGTATTAAAAGCAAATAATTTAACACAGTACAAAAGCAAACTTAAGGCAGAAACTTGTGATACTATACAATGGTAGTAATAAAGTTGAAATGTTTGCTGTGGGTTGTGCCAAAACAAACAGTGCAATATTTTAACGTGTGTGCATTCCGGCCATTACAATAATGATTCGCGTACCGGACACCAAAGAACGGTATTCTCTGCGTCTTACTCCTTAGAAAACTGAATATGTGTATACAATATGTGTACAGCCAGTACACGGACCAGTATCAGCGTCTGCCTGAAGGCAGTAGACCGAGCGGCTTCCTATTGGCGCCACTAATAAACCCAGTGATGTAAGCCCCGGTGATAATGAAACAGAGTCGGCGTGGAAGTCCAGCGGCTTCCCATTGACGTTAAACCCTTATGCATGTGATAAAATCAGTTTTCCGGTCAAAAGGGGAAGAGCCTTTCTGCTGTTAATCTTGCAATCAGCTTGCAGTAAATTCAAATCTGCACTACAGACTTGCAGTTTCGTCTATCCGCTGACGATGAAATTGTACGTCTAATGAAGCATTAGATGGTATACGGAAGTACTAGCAATACAACGTATTTAATTATGGACAATAAAATTATTAGATGAATCATAATCGTCCGTGCCAACACATGTGCAACCCGGAACAACACAGCCAGACAATAACAATATGTCGGCGTGTACAGCTGGCAGCTAGTTATTGCGCACTGCAACAACGGAGAGTTTGGAGGTGCAGTCCATCGCGGTACACACTTAACGTTTCATCATTGACGTTTGCGCGGTGCTAACTTTGGTGCAACAATTTTACAAGATTTACCAGTCATCTGTAACTAGGCATGAAACCGTTTCGTTTTGGCTCTTAGCTCTTAGGTAACTAGGTGTCTTTAAGGAAAATAAGCCGCTACATGGTGCCATAAAAGGTATACGTGTATTAAAACATTCGCTGTCGCGCACTCAGGATCACTTTTTTATAATATTTTTATATCATTCTAAAGCTACGTGGTTATACACATTGTGCCGAAAACTGTGGGCGCGCGCAGTATCCGGTTGCCGAAATATGGCGAATTAAAATGAGCGAAACGTTTAAATGCGTGATTGTGCACCAAAAGTTTAGTTATTACTTGATCTTCTTAAAACTTTGCTGTCTTCCGTTACCAGCTCCCGTACACGCACAGATAAGTTTTTGCATGCATGCCTGTATAGTCCCGGGGCGTCATAGCAGCCATCGATGATATTATGCTTGGCAATGATGATGAGTGATGACATAGATGGTGCTTCCGTAATCGGTGACGTCTTGCATGTTACTTCCGTAACGAACTTCGTAACGGACACCGATACATTTTCGCATCTTTTTCCTGAATTCAGAAGAACTTCGCCTTCCGGTCGAGTAAAACAAGCGCAGAGATACCAATAGCAAACTTTAAACACAGTTCTGTTCGCAGTTCGCTTTACTTGTTTGTGTTTGTGATGTTGGGAGGTTGTTAAATGCTACTTTGTGGGATTAGCTCTGCCTATGGTTAACATGTTAGTAGCATACGCCACTATTAAACGTGGACACGGACATTTTGTCGACTAACAAATCAGCGACCGGCTCAAGAACAAATGCGAGAGCAACAGCTAGTTCGGGTTCGTGACCGGTCGATATCGCGTGTGTTCGAATCAATGATTGTCGGCAAATTCCCTTCGACCAATGCCGGGTTACCGATTTAACAGAGAACTTATTATAAATTATCGGGAAGCGTTATTTCCTACTGGTTAGAAACGGGTTATTCTGCCCCCGATGTCTCGGTCTTGACGTGTTTATGTGTACTGTAAATTACTCTGCAGCAACCCTTTTGGACTTGGAAACTTATTTTGAGCTCAAGAACTAGCACACTGTATGAGCACATTTGCAATTTACCTGATTCCAATAACTAGGCAGGCAGCACATATGATTAATATGAATCGCCGCGCAGTACACTTGGAGCGAGTTGAACATTTCCCAATACGTCTCTACCGTAGTATTTCCCCTCTTAGGTTATTCAGAAGTGCTGTCAAGGGCTGGGGTTCTATATATTTTGGCAATCGACCGGAGCGTAGCGAAGGTCCTTTGTATTCAAGACTAATACTTTCGTCGATTTCTGTCCGTTACGAAAGGTCGTTACGAAAGGTTGTTACAAAAGCCATTTCCAACCAGTAATTGGAAGTTGTCATGTTTACAGTATGTTGCTAAGTCGTTTGCAAAATAATATAAAATTTTATTATTCTACATATACATATAGTAAAGTATACTGGAAGATCAGATAATTAAGTGCTTAAAACTAAGTTTGAGTACTGTAGTAAAATGTATTATACAGTAATACAGTACTCAAAGGAATTGCTGCGCTCCGGTCTGCTGAATGTACACCACGTGCATTTTTCCTACTCGTAGTTAATTGTCAATTTCTAACGTATTTTGCCTGCTGTTAGATTTCGAGAGTGGAAGTACTATGAAGTTCCCGCACGCATCGACGATCGCTGGGATTTTTGTGACGGCTTGCTGCATGAAAATTTTGCCGAATCCACGCCATTCATCAACCGTAGCGCACCGTTCGGCTTCCGGAGCATTGGTGTATTTCTGGTTGCAATGAAACCATTAGATTCGCACACAACACTTCGTTTGGAATCTGGGTGCCGGTGGTATCAATACGGTCATAAAATCACGCCCCGTTCCACAGAAGTTTGGTCATACAAGAACGAAGACTGCCCTGTTTTCAAGAAACGAATATATATTCCAAAAGATGGGCCAAACCTGGGAATAGCGGCCATAGAATACCGCTGGGCACGTGGACAAAAGTCGGTTAAGCCGTACGAATTCATTGTCAAACCGAGCAAGCGAGGGGAAGAAAAAACAGCCTTTCAGCCAAATGCTGTTCTAGCAAAGCCACTCGTCAAAGAGCATTTCGATGAAAATCCGAATCTGAATGACATTGAAATGTTGGCGGCAATTCAAGAACAATCCGCGGAGAAGACTTGTAATGTTTTTACTGTGCCACATAACAGAAGGCAAATCGCGAATGTGAAGGCAAGAGAGAGAAAATTAGCTGCTGAAACAACTTTGATGGACTTGTTACTGGAGCAGAACGTAACCATTTTGCATGCGGACATAAAGGAAAAGGGGGAAAAGAATGCTCTGGTTCTTGTGGCAATCCCAACTCAGTCTGCCATGTTTGCAAAATTTTGTTTTGAGCCAACAGCTTCCGGTTTACCAGAATCCGCCTTGTTCTTTGACGTGCTTTACACTGTGGCAGGGAAATATCTGCTGGTTACCTGTCTGCGGCATCCTGGTTTAACGCGTACCAACTATGCAAGCAGAAGTGACAACTTGATTGATGATGCGTCTTTGGGAGTCAGCGACAGAGCGGTAATGATAGGACCTTGCGTTTTGATGACCGGTCAATCAAAACAGGAATTTGCGAAGGCCTGGATGCTGATCTTTGACAACCTTCAAAGTAGCTGCAAAAGTTCATGGAAGTCACCCGCAGTCTGGGCTCCTGTCTTTGTTTCCGATGAACAATCAGCCCTGTACGAGGCGGCACTGTAAGTAAAAGCTTTCATAAAATGCTAAAAGTAGTCTGTAAGTAGCATTAGGCTTTCCCGTCGGTTTGCATCTTTCTGTACAATTATTGACGTATAATTCAAATTTAGCATCCAATTCTAAGTTTGCTTTACCTTGTACACCCAAAGGTACACACACCAAAACGCTTGACTTGAATAGTACATGTAGAACGCGATAAAATCGGTGGTGACCTTTACCGGTTTCATTCAACGGTTTTTCACTAAATAACGGTATGGAAACGGCAGCCATTCGGCGTTAAAAGATCAACATGCGGTATTATTGGCAAACATCGCCGTCCGATTGCGTATTGTTTTAACCATCATGAGTAGCGGGGTTATGTTTCGCTGCCCACACAGCAAGCGTCATGTTAGCGCCAGCGCTGCCACCACGCAACCACTACCATGTGTGGAAGGCGAGCAAATTCAGAGCAGGGAAAAGTGAAACCAGTTAGTGGCAGTCTGGACACTAGACGGCTCTTCAAAACCAGAAAACATGTTGCAGCGGCAATTTTGTCAGTTTTGTCATTGTCAGACTGTCTTCAAATGCACACCTGTCATTCATAATCAAACTGGTTACGTGGTAGCAGCGCTGGCACTAACATGACACTTTCTTGGTGGGTAGCGAAACATTAACTCCGCTACTCATGATGGTAAAGATAATACGCAATCGGACGGCGTTGTTTGCCAACATTATCCCGTGTTGATCTTTTAACGCCAAACGGCTGCTTTTCCATACCGTTAGGTGAAAGACCGTTAAAGTCCGTCATGTGATAATAATACTGCAGTGTGCTGACTGAATTATTGGTCGGCTTGTACTAGGGCACCGGGCTCGGCTTCAGTCACCAAAGGCACGTGTCCCACTTTGAAATGACTGTATGTTCCGCTTTGCCTAGCCATAGCTTGCAAGAACAGCTTCAACTATGGTAAAATGCAAACTTCTTAAGGTCACGCACTGTTAGGAACCGAAAAACAGATCAACTTTTGCGGACATCATAATCTTAACGCGGTGCAGTCCGCCGCGGTGTGCGTTATAGGTTTTCATAACGCAAAATGCACCGTATTGCCCGTGTGATGCGAGCAGGGTTGTGAATATAGCAGCTAGATTGCCGTCAACCTGCACTTTTTCAATTTTTCAAATGTAAACTTGCTTTGTCCGTGAAATTTTCCTTGCCATTCAATCTGAATTTGTCGTGGGCCTGATGCTATTCACTCTTAGCTTGAAACCCTGACCAGAAACTGTTTGCGCGTTGAAATGAGAGTTTGGTTTTATAATTTTCGGCATTTTTACCATTGAGAGACGACACGTAACCAGTATCAGAATAGGTTTCGGGACGCACAAATTTCTAGAGTGGACCTCGTATACGAAGCGAATTTCGCTATGGTGCGATTACTCATCAGCAGAGGTGGCTGTACACAATGGCCACGCCTACAGATATGGTTCGCGAAGCCACCTCGAGAGGTGCAGTTGCTGTATCGCAAGCAAACTCACTTCGACTTGGAGAGCCACGCTTCTTGTATAGTAACTGACTAACGGGTGCAGTGTACTTATCCTTGTGCACAGGATCGTGTTCTACTTCTTGGGTTTCTTAGGTTTCATGAACTTCTTACTAAGAAGTTCTTAGAAGCATTGTTAACGTACGAACACCAAGCTTTTTTCGCATCTTCGTGAAATTCTGGTACCGTAAATCCAATTTTCTTTAAAGAAACCGAGATTTCTGCAGGGTCAAGCTACGCTTTTCCCTGAGCTATCAAAGTGTTAAATTGCCCTGAACCTGAGCCAAATTTCTGAGTCTGCGACTCTGACCGCGGAAGCGGATTTCAGTGGCAGTTCTTGACTGTATCAAAGCCATTGCCTTAGACGTTAGAATTCGCCGGTAACCTGGTACATAGGCAGGTGGCTTGGAAACAAAAAGCCAGTCACTGCAGCGTTCTGCGAGTAATAGCCGTCCCAGGCGATGCTCTGCACCAGAAACTTCTGGTCAGCATTTGCCCGCCGCCATCGCAGCAGCTTGACCGGAGAAAGGTCGGAAAAGAATTCTGCACCATATTACAGAGATAGATTAATTACTGGCACTTCGATACCAGCGTGTTGCTTTATAGGCAATGCTTACTCAGTAACAAAGAGATCCGAACATACTGGTACTTTTCATACTCTTATGGGCGCGGTTTGGTCAAAGATGCAAAATATTCAGTTAAAGGTGTTCACAGCCTTTTACTTGGTTATTTCAACGTCTCACTCTGTGCATCACTTTTTGCGCGGACTACCTTGTGTACGAACACTCTTGGATGCCGATAACATACCGTGCATGATTTGAATGCGACTAACAGCCGAATTTATTGTAAACGTATCTCACAATGCTCCTGTCAGCATGTTGCATATGCAAAAACAAAAACGCACTTTGCGCATAGCGTGACGGTTCATCGAGCCCGTTTCGGCTTTCTCCTTATCCCATCCCTACCCCATGCCACTAAACAGAATTAACAAGAGTAAAATAGGTGCGCAAAGGTTGAGCAGGGTCAGCACACAGCAGAAGTGGTGTAGAAGGGTGTGAACGGTGTGATCGCTTAAATTAAGGCAACAGTATATACGGATTATTGGACAATAACGAATTATCGAACAATAATTCATGATTATGCTTTAGGGACATCATACCCCAAGCAAAGCACCTGCTGTGTGTGCTGCATGTTAAGGAAAACTTGAAGAGGCTCCTCGCAAACGAATTTTCTTACTGTGCCGAAGATGATCTGCAACAGACCGTTAACGATATTTTCGGCGTTGTGCGGCCGAACCAGAATACCTTTATTAAAGGCCTCATTGATGCTGCGTCCACCCGCGAATTTTACGAACAACTTGCCGTTCTGAAACACGTCTGGGAAGCGCGGCACCCAGGATTTACCGACCGATACTTTGACCCAGATGTCCAAAACAAGTACATCCATAAGCTCATACTGGAAGCACGCGAGCCAGCTGGATTCGGAGATAGGCTGTGTCAAAATAACGCGACCGAAACAGCCAATTCTATGGTGCGAAAAAAGCTGGAATTAAAGCCAAAGCGAACGCTGACTGATCTGGAAACTGTGCGTGACCTGAAACGATTATTTTTCCACCAAGAACGGCAAATGGCGGAAAGCATTGTCGGGCGTGGTGAATTGCGTCGCAAAAACGTTCATGCAACAGCGTGCACGACAGCAGTACTATTCCAACCTGATCCTCTGAAAAAAGCGTACATCGACATTTTTGGAATCGTTCCGGATAATGATTTGCTGCAGCATTTGAAACCTGAAACTTCGAATGCTTATGCAGCATCGAATCGTGGGATTGAATTTCCTATCAGTTTCGTCGAAGCAAACTTGGCAGACGAATATCGTTTGGACTGGAACGCTGCGCGCAACATCCTTCAGCAGCAACGTATCCGGGAAAAGACAAAGACGAAAGTTCAGAGAAACAATTGTGTTGATTACGCTATCGATGAGCCAAGAGATCGCGTGGAAAGGATTGTAACCTGGACGACCGGAACATGTGAAGTTGATTGCCGATGTGACCGCTTTATGACAAAAGGCATCTGCTGTCATTCGATTGCAGTTGCCGCTTTTGCGGATAGCCTGCCGAATTATTTGGAGAAATTCCATAGCAGAAAGAAACTGTATCGCAAAATAGTTCGCCCCACTTCAAAAGAAAGCGGACGCAAACCAAAAGGAACACGGCGTAAAGTAATCGACCGAAAAGCAGCTGAAGGTGCAACAATCCGCAAAGGTCGAGAAGAAGTACCATCTGCGATTGCTGGTTTAAGCGGCTTAGCGTATGCATCGGGCGCGGAACAGCAAACCACGTCCCAACAGAAAGGTAAATGCGCATTCATTTATCTATAATTTGTAGATAAATACTCGTAATTACGCTTGAGCGGGCTACTATGATAAGTGATTGGGCGACATACGCCTGATAGAAGTGGCCCGATACATGGTAGCATGTACATGTCCCGAAAAACTATGACGAACGCGCTTTTACCACGGAGCCACCGAACTACACGAAAATAATTGCAGTCACCGCCACATACTGTATGTGCAGCGACAGTACTCTCTTATCATAAACAGCTGTTGTTTGTCGTTCAAGTCATTTTTAATTTCGGTTTTCTTAAAGGAAATCTCGGTAGTCTTATTTCTCAAAAAAGATTGAATACCGTAAAAATTTAGTGTCGTATACGTTAACCTACTGTGTTGTCGAGTCAACTTGGCACCTTTTTTTACAGTGAGTTGTATCCGCTTAGCGTATAACTCACTGTACGAAATGGTGCCAAGTTGACTCGACAACATAGTAGGTTTAGTAATTTATTTCGCTGTTATCCCCATAAAACACAAATAAGGAGATCACGACGTCGCACCCGGTAGATTTCTCTTGTAATAAAACGAAATCTGAAATCAATATCAACTAATTATTTAATTTGCACCGAGGGCAAAGCGCGAAGTGCTGCAATTATACACCCACATAAGCGCGTTCTCGCTTATGTGGGTGTATACCACCTTGCTGAAATCTGGGAAGAAAGCGAAGAGAGTTCGCCACCAGGTACATGACCAGGTGATACCATTTGTGAAATAAGGCTTACTTACTGATGGTGGCCAAACGCTTTCCCTTCTCGTTGGTAAGGATGTATGCGGCTGCCTTGCGTTGCGGTTCCATGCCACTGCGGGATTGCGAGATCTTGCTTACGGAACATAGATCTCTCAGCAAAAATTTAGTAGCGCACGCAAAAGATCTGCTAGCAAAAATTACGTAAATTAAAAGCAGACTAAGTAAGTAAGTAGCGAACGTGTTGGAAAACCGGGTAAATTTCTAAGATATGAAAGCGGAGAGGTCATATTCAACAGTTATTGGTCATTGTGCGAAAACTTTTGAGTGTTGAAAGGCAAAGCTCTTTCTTGAAATATGACCTTTCAAATTTTCGTATTTATTACGGGCTTCATAGTAATCTATAAGTTTGCCAAACCTTTCGCAGTCCGGCTTGCAGTAGTTGTGTAACTTAATCTTATGTTATGTAGGAAACAAATTCCCGTGGGAATTAAACGTCGGTCCTTTCAAGGTCTGCAGTTTGAAAGGTGGCGGGGGTTTGCGATCGTACGCTAGTTACCACTGCTGTGGCTGCCGCACACCGTTTTCGCAGCAAACGCCGGATCTCGATCTAATTCTTGTGAGGACCGAGCCAAATTACGACAAAGGAAAAACCGCTGTTATGCCACCGCGAGACTGTGCGTACCATCTGAATATTGGATGTGTTCGACGTCGGCATCCAGACCTCAGCCTAGAAAGCCAGAGATTTGGAGAGGGAGTGAGAAGAGAAATTGCGTTAACGGAACAGCAGAAGAAATTGCTTCTGAATTTCATGGAAAGCATTCCCTCCACTGTGCCATTTCGTACTAGCGTCTAATTTGTTGTCGAATGATTGATTCTGATTTCTGAACAAGCACTTGTATTTGCTTAACTGGTGTTGCAAAATTTTGGTTTTTCCATCTGGATTGCTAATTTACTTAGTATTTATTTCTTCTTGAATTTGTGTCATTGTCGTCGTTCTGTTTATTTTGCGGGTTTTCCCCGTGGAGCAATGTACTCTACGGTTTCCCCGTTAGTGGACTTTGGCGTTTGCATAACTAAATGAAATACAAAAGGTAAACTAATTTCATTTTAACTAAATAGAGCTAAAAGAACTAGCTTTTAGTAGTAAATATTTATTCCTTTGACAGTATAATGCTTTAATGTTAATTAGTTACCAATCTGGCTTTGGTTGGGCTAATGGCAGCACATCACTATATATAATTTGGCTCGTGCAACGACATTTGATTCATTAACTTTTATTTCATTTATTCGACATTTGGCTAGTGAAAAGAGCATAATGTACTCCAAGTATAGTGTACTCCAATTGACTTCCAGTTGAACACTCAACATTACTCTAAAGATACTCCATAAATACAATAAAAGTAAATAATAGCGAGAGAATTATTACAGTACTTGCATGAGATTCTACAAACAGCAAAACCGATTCAGTGACAATTATGGCAGAAATATTAGTACAGTAGGAGCGAGGGCCTTGTCCATTTTCCCACCGAAACGAGAAAATGGTGTTATCGAAACTTTTATAAGACAGTCTCGATGAGATACTTTCTTGTTTTTGCATAACTGTTACCAGCTCGTGTAATTCTCTACCTGAATTACGGCTAGTGTAGACTGATTCATATAAAGGTCACACGTCGCGGTTTGAACTTTTTCACAGCAAAATTTGTGTGTAATAGGTTTTTTTATTAGAGCTTTTGCAATTTCTGAAAGGTGCGGTGTAGTTCTGCACGATATTCCCAATGTCGGCTTTTCTGCACAAAAAAAGGCTTCGATAGTGTTACTGTAGCGGCCCGCACAAGTTGCTCCCTAGAGCGGGGTATATCGATATTTGCACCCACATTGTTTGTATTTTAGCTCAGTGTGTGCGGGGCAAAGGCTCCGGCCGGACCTGCCAATGGGACAACTTGTGCGGGCGACTACAGTATGTGTGTGTTTTCAGAATGTTCGCGCACTTCCACGACAGGCCAGCCGCTATTCCTGTTTGCAGCTAATTTTCTCCTGAATGCTGAGCAAATTCGACAGGACACCCTTCTTCTAGAGGATGCCATCGAAGATTGAACGGTTCTTCTATATTGCACTCGTGTCACGTATAATTCATTAATCAAGATTTTATAATCTAATTAGACTAAATTTCCTAACTGAGCCGTACAAGCCCGTCCGGATAATGAGCACGTAAAGGTACAGCTAACGCATATTAAGCGCGATGTTAGCGCTTATCACGATGGCCACTACACTACGTTTGCCACAATGCGTAAATGCGCTCCGCAGTTAGATTATCCCTTACTGCACCGACCGTTTTCTGGCCACCTTCCGCCAGGCAACTACGATTATTCGCATTGAAATATATGGCGTGCACCAGGCCACCAGCCAGCCAAACGCATGTTACGTGGTTGAACAGTGTGGCGTGGTGTTGCGTAGTATCAAAGTGTATGTATAGCACATGCCCCACAGGCACGAATGCATTTTAGGAAGCTAGCAGACTGTGCTTGGATGGACTATGGTAGTATCTTGTTTGGCGTAACCCATGAATTCACATTTTCGCTGTTCTCTATCGTGCTCATCATCCGGACGGGCTTGTAGTGGTTACGCACAATAGTCAACTGATACAGTAATTTTGTCGCATTAGCCATGCGTAGTGTTGGGTCAAAGAGAGTTAAATGGCTCAATTGTAGTACTGTACCATTAGCCAAATTATGGAGTGCGCTGTAGTGACAATAGAATTTTATAACGCTACGTAGTGGCATTAGCGCTGGCCAAAAGGTTTTGGCAGCGATTAGTATTATGCAGAATCAGTATCGGCTGCCCTTGCTGCACTGTTAGACCCTACGAACGGTATAGTCGAGTCGGTTAATTATACAGAAAGTTTAAAACCACTGAAAACAAATGTCAGTAGTCCGCAAAAGACACCTGCACATCAGATGCAGGACCTATTCAGTTTGCACAAACGATTCCTAACGCGAAGTAACGCTTCTGGTACTTTAAGATAGAGGGTGTTAAGTTAAAGAGAAGAAAATTATAGAGCCTTCGTCCCAATGTAATGCTGAGACGAAGCCCAAAGTTAAAGGATCTGGCCTCTTTAAAAAATGATCCACTCGTAATGGATGTTTGAGTACCCTTACTACTGCATTGCATGGTTCTTCCGTGTTCAACAACATTACAACACTGATTATAAATTCCAAAAATAACCAAAACCATTCCCTTCCCCAAATTTACTTCTGCCCGGCACAGTGCCTAAAACTGCAACAGCGTTTCCCTTCATTATTGCTAAACTAATGCGCGTTTCAAGTAAGCGGCAGAACGGCTTTCCCCGGTCTTTCCGCCAATCAGGCGTCCGATAAAGCTGACCATGTCTTTCGCACCTTCTCCAAGCACTCCCAGCGTTTCCACTGCAAACCCCTACTGTTGTGAATACAGCTGTGTCCCGAAGTCCGTCAGCGGTTAATTCCACGGTTCTCTGTGGACCTGTGATCAAAACTTTCAGAACATGAGTCAATAGTCAAGATTATCAGAAGCTTCAGTTAAAGTCCCAGATCAACCTTAGACTAGAAGACTAGCAGTAAACCAGTAATACGAGTTTGTTGTTCGAAGCAAAAAAGTAGTTTAGGGTTTAGTGTCCAAGTAGTCAAAGTTTATATGGTCAGAGTCAGACTTTGAGTGGTCAGAGTGAGAGTGGTCAGAGTCAGAGTGGTCAGAGTTTGAGTGGTCAGAGTCAGAGTGGTCAGAGTCAGAGTGGTCAGAGTTTGAGTGGTCAGAGTCAGAGTTTGAGTGGTCAGAGTCAGAGTCAGAGTCAGAGCTTGAGCGCGGGCCGTTTGAGAATGGATCATCTTCTCGTCGTGGCTGTCTGCTTGGCCTGCTTTATCCCGGGCAGTTTCACCTGTGCCCAAAACCCGAAGCCAGCCGTGGATAGGGCACTGGATACAGGTGAGTTACTGTACAGTTTTCGCAGGTCAGACGAACTGGCAAGTCCGGCACTATCGTGTGCCTGTAATTTGCGGCGCAATTGCATATGTATGGGGATGCTGGAATCATCCCAGTCTGCACTTCGCTCATGGTCTCTAAGATTTCTTAGGTTTCCTAAGTTGAAATTGCGCTGCACTTTATGGGAATTCCTTGTAGGAAACTCTGAGCTTTACACGAAAGCCATAAAGGTCAATGTGCATTAGCCAGACAAAGACGAATTAAAGAGGTCATCTTTGTCTGTAACTGGTTGTGACTCTTCAGGGTACGCAACTGTGTTCCAAGCTGTATGAGGATGTGTCGAGAATGATAAGGTTTCATTGTAATTGAATAAAGAATTACCTGCTTTTATTCTCTTCGTTTTCCCTGATGTTTTCACTTAATCCTGAGAAAAGAAATGCAGTTTCGTGGAGAACTTTTTCCTCTACATTCTGTTAATCAGAAACCGATCGGCGGCTGTTCCCGCTTCCCAATTTTTAATTTTAATTGTTAGATAATCATATAGTAAAAAAAGTTACAAAATCGAATCCAAGTGGGTGTGGGAAGCGTACATTCAGCTTATGTAGGGAAAACTGACCCGACACATGTATACATGGTTGCTAATCCGGGTAGATGCACGAAAACATTCCCATTCGCGCATTCCCAAGCTCTTTTCGGCATCGTTTTTCTGCATCCTGCACCAAATGATTCGTATACCATGGGGTGAAGCCCGCTTGTGCAAACGTTCCAACCGGATATTGCGCGCATAAACGCGTTTCACAAAATGCGTCGCGAAAGAGTAAGTTCTTGCTTTTGCACAGCACACGAATGTGGTACCATGTATCGGGTCACTTTCCTTCAGGAGCATGCAGCTGCCACCTGTTGCGCTACTGACAACGTGTCACATTTTTGACATCAGGTCCCGATAACTGCGTGGTGAAATGGCTTGAAACTCGTTTCCTAAAAGTTATTTGATGCGCTGAAGACGAATCTAAAACCAGATTGCAAAGAAAATTTCACCGGAAAAAGTTACGAGAAAC